TAAGATCAATATGACTTTATTAGTCCGTAGATAAACTATTGAAAAACAGCTTGTTTCGACTATAGGACTTTTCAATGTGGGAATGAGAATTTTTCATTAGCAGAAAAAGATGATACGAATAAAAAAAAACTGAATAAGCGTGCAAAAGAGAACAGATGAGAATCACAATTAGAGACTCGTGGAAATTTTCTAAGGAATACACGTACACATAACTTATTATAAACTCTGAAGAACCCGGAAAGAGGCACATGAACATCATTATCATTGTAGAGCGTAATACGGTAAAATGAAATTCACTGATCGCTACCGAACGCATATTTCATACAAGGTAAGTGAGAATATGGAAGGAGGATAGGGATTGAACTTACTTTTAGGGACGGGAAAAGAAAGCGAACCTCTATGGTCAACGCACAGACTACACAGTTCAACTGTGTATACATACTAGTTCAAACATTCTGGTCCGACAAGAAGTGATAGCCATTGCTGTCGGTTAGCAGCCATGACCTTCAGTGTCTCCAATCATCCGGTTTCGGAGTCTTTTGGACCCCAACCCGGAAGACGAGAGACACCTACTCCACTTAATCGCCCTGTACATTTCTTTATGCCACATCTCCACGTTATCTGCTGGCCTCCACGTGACTTTCTCCAGCCTGTACCAGCCACTGCAAACAAGGCGCGCTGTGGTAGGCTACTGTCGGACAGACGTAAACGTGTCCCAACCAACGGAGCCTACTGAGCTGGATTCGATGAGATAGCGAGTCCTTGTTTGATGCATTCCCAAACACCCGACGACTTACTTCTAAGTTACTAACCCGATCACTCCATCCCATCTGGGCCAGCCTACGTAAGAATTGATTGTCGAAAACCTCTAGGCGGCCGGTATCATCCACCCGCAAATTCAAGATTTCACAACAATAAAGCAGAACTGATCGTACAGTGGCGTAGTACACGCGACTTTTCAACTTCAATGAAACATCACTTCACCGCCACAGGTGTTTAAGTCCAGCGTACGCTACTTGAGCCTTAGAAATGCGAGCGGTTATCTCTGTTGATGCACTACCGTCGTATGTCATGCAGTTCTCCAAGTACGAGAAGCAGTCAACCTCACCTAATTCCGGACCGTCTAGTTTCAGAACAGAACTCGGCGACACAGTCTTGCAGACTACCTTTGCACTTTGAAGGATAAGGCACATGCCGAACGGAGCTACAGAACTTGCTAATCAGTCAGTTGCTCTTTGTGAATCCTCCAAAGATTCGAACAGGCAAAAGATGNCAGCTTCTCTCCAGCTGCCCATTCAATACCTACATTTTAGAGACCACTTAGAGTGTTCTTCAGTATTTCGTCCATGACGCAATTGAGCAAGAAGGGCGAAAGAGGGCACCATTGACGAACACTGCTGCTAATAACGAAAGACGTGCATGTGGACCAAACTCGTGTATCTATCAATGACATCATGGAAATCAACCACAAACGACAAAATTGCACATAATGAGACAATGATTGCATGACAACAGGTGTTGGAATCTATTGCTAATCATATGATCCAATGTGTCGATAAAAAAGGCAAACTTCATAGTGTGATGAACAGACGAAACAGCAAACTGCACTGAAACACAATGACCTTGTGTTTGGTTACGGAAACTGGGGATAACAACCCTTAAACTTCACGCAGCGAACCACCCAGGGTTCCGATAAGGTTAAGTGAGGCGTTCAACCGGACAATGGGAAAGCTGTTCATCATCAAAAATAAACGCTACTAA